TTTACCAAACAAAACCTTAACCTAAGGATAAACTCACTTGACCTATGACATGACTTGCCTTTGATAATTTTTGACACTCCAAAGAAAATATGCCTGCGTGTTTTTCCCCTCTCTGTGGCGGTCAATAATGAAGAAAATTTGATTGATTGATTGTAGACTTAATTAAACGGATTTTAAGGAATATCGTAGGTTATAGAAGTCAGAACCTCTGTGCCTTTAATTTTAGAATATCAAATTTAAATTTAGCATGTGGTATTGGTTAAGCTATAGTATAATTATTTTTTTGTTTTTACTTTTTACAATATGATGCGAACAAATGCCAACCGGGCTGTGACCCAATTGGTTGGCCCCAAGCCCTAAAGCTTGGGTGAGGCGGAGGTCAGGTTTCAAACTCTACCACCGCCGTGAACTCCACCAACTTGTGACCTAATGGTCGCGCGCTTCAAATGAGAGGTGGAAGTTTCACTTTCCTGAAAAAATTCCAGCTGCTAACAAACTAATTCTACTAACTTCCTAACTATTTACCTGGTCAAAAAAAGAAAAAAAATGATGCGAACAAATAAATATAGATGTGGCTTCCATGTAATATATGCATTTTCTTTTGCTTATAGCATAATCTCATAATAATCATGTGACATTAAAATGAATAATGACAATTTTTATTTTTTTAATATTAATTAATAAAAAATACAATAATTACATCTCTAACATGTGTTCTAAAAATAAAAATTAGAAAAACCCTAAAACATTTTTTCAAAAAAGGGATATACCTGACTTATTTTCATTTTAAGATGCAAAATGAATTTGTAAAGAATTTGTATGTGAGATAGATAGAGAGAGAGAGAGAGAGGCCTATCAAACTTGAGCCCAATTTCCTTAATTTGGATGTCTCTGTCAAAATTGAGCCCAGTTTCCTTTACTGAATTTGGATTCGAGTTCGGCGGAGGCTATTTTTCTTTGACACTGGACCCTTGACCGTTGGGCTTAGCTCCCCGGCGAGAGCCCATGAACCTAAAATATGTAATACAACTCATTTACCATGATAAATGAATCTTTATGTCCAAAAAAACAATAGTAATAATTAAATAAAACTATTTCCTTTTGGCCGAAATAATTAAATGAAATTGCCTATGAAGAAAACTTAAACATGTAAATCACACTACTAATATATATATATATTTTTTGTTCCCGTCAACAAGTTGTTATCTCCATCTTAAGCTAACAATTAACACGTTTTTTCCTTTTTCCTCCTAATGTTAGGTAACACATAACTTCTTCCATTTAGCTTTCGTAAGACACCATAGAGAGTTCATACGGGTACACTTGGATTTTCAAATAAATAATAAAATTGCAACTTTTTTTTTTTTTTGAATTACAACTTTTAGTATTATAAAATGATTTTTTAATAACTTATCATTACACGAGTTTAAACATTTAACTTTAATGTTAAATTAAAAAATTTAAATTAATAAATATTAATTTAATTAAACTCTTGCTGTTAGTATCATAAAATGACACATAAAGAAAAAGGGAAGGGAAGAGGGGGGGGGGGGTAAAATTAGGAGGATTGGACAGGGACATATTCACGTTATATTAGGTTGCCTCATCCTAAAGGAAACACACCAAATTGGCAAGTTCAAGTGCTAAGTTATAGAGCTTATTATCACCAAACCTTTTAGACTACTATTTTTCATACACCTATGACCTAACCGTTAAAAGCAAAATCAGATCCTATAGGATGATAATATTGCAAGTGAATATAATATTTATATAAAAAATTGAGTCCACGGGCACGATTTTCACAAATACGAGTCTTTCAGACGGAGCCATACAATCATTTTTTATTAGATTTAACGTCCAAGTTAACAGAACCACTAATAGTGGACATTTCTCAATAGGTTGGCCTGTTGGTAATTATTTGTGAAACTAAAGGAAGATTAGAGACCAATCGGTTCCATATCAAAAAGGTTTAGGAACCAAAATTAAGGATTTCAACCATTTGTAATATTAACCTTTGTGTTCATTTCTCTTTTTTTTTTTTTAGAAATCACAAGGCCATATGCCCTGCAATGCCTCACTTTAGTTAATATTGTTGACATAATAAATTGAAATCACTATCCTCATAAATCTATAATCAAAATTGAAGATAAAAAATAAAATAAAATAAAATTAGGGTATTTAGTCCATTTAATTTTTTTGATTAATGTAGTTCTTGGGCTTTAAGGACTTAAAGTTTTCAAGGAATTCGGCTTTAAGAGTAATGATTAATTACTTAGACTTAATGTAACTATTAGGTTTTAAAGCTTGAGTTTTTAAGGGATTGTGTTTTAAGGGTGCCAAAGCTGAATATTTTTTAAATATTTCAATGTTTTTAATTTTTTAAATGTTTATTTAAGGATTTTTTAGGGCATATGACAAGAATGTATTAATTGTATTTTTTTCTCAATGATTATTATAAAAGAGATAAAAGTTAATTTTAATAATATCAACTACCCAACTATAATAATGCACCTCTTATTTTTAATAAATGCAAAAAGGAGGATTCCTTTACCTAGTAGTGAAGGACTTGAATCAAGCTTGCATGAGGTATTAGTGTATCTAACAATAATTTAAATGTGAGAAATTTGTCCTTCAAAAAACGAAATATTGAATGAATTGATGGAAAAAAAAAAAGAAAAAAAAGAAGAAGAAAGAAAAGAGATTTTGCTCTTTCTTTGCCTTGTAAATAAGATACTAATTATAGCGAAAATGGAACTTTGATAATGATTGCCAATTCAACCCGTATCATTTGAGAAATCAAATTCTTATTGTGCTATTGTGCTTAAGAAAAGGGATTTTTAACTAGAATTATGTTGAAAATGAAATTACTTTTATTTTTTAAAAAAAGAATTATGTTTTTCAATCTTAACTATATTAAATTGTATAATAATATTTTATTTTTTAAATAAATTAATAAAAATAAAACTTAAGGCACAACAAATTCAATAGATGATAAAAAAAAAAAAAAAAAAGCTAGTTTGTAAAGTGGGCATAATTTATTGAAAGAGAAGGTTAAATCCATGTGCTTTTCTAATAATAAATACTAAATTCATAATAATTGCCCTTTGTTTTGTACTCTTGTTCGGCAAGTACAATTAATTGCTTTGTTAATTAAACATTATTTTAAATACTACTAGTTAACTAGTAGTTAAATTAATTGCAATGAGTTAATATGCACCTCCACCTAACTATTATAAAATTTTTTGGGGTATACTTAATGATGGAGCA